GCAGCTCATGTCATTAGTCAGCTATAGAAAAATGAAGCCCATTTGTCTCAGCGTGGACGTAGAGAATCGTGTTCTGCTCTTTTTTTCTTCTTATTTTGTACCTGTTTGTAAGGCCCGGCAGGTGCTTCAATGAATGCAAGATAATTTGTTTTTGGCCGCAGCAACAGCTTGTAGCCATGTGCAGGAAATGGAAGAAAAGATAGCTGCAGTGGGGTGAAGGGGGAGGAAGAGAACTGTGGATGGAAGCATGTCAGAGGATCAGGGAGATGATGAAAGAGCGGCGCCGAAACCCCTATGATGCTCTGCTCTCTCTCTCTCTTTCTTCCTCTCTCTTCCCCGACTTCATGACTCATCAATCAGCCCTGACACATTAGTCCCTGCTGGGCAATCAGGCCTTGCACTCCTCTTCTCTCAGAATGAGAGATGGACCTTTTCTCTCCTCCCACGTAGCTGGAGGATGGACAAATTGCAGGTTGAGGGACTAACACAGACAAGAGGTGTTAAACTATTTTGCAAATGTCAGTGTATTTGATGGACCCCCTCCACTGCACACTTTGCTCATTTCCTTTGAATAGATGGGACTCTAAATACCCAAAGACATGTCCGAGACCTCAGATTATCTGCATGGCTGCTTGGAAAACTCTTAAGAGCATTCATCTACAAAGCATCCATAGTGTTAAAACACAAGAGGGTGTATTTCCACTTGTTTACTTTTGTTTGCGTTTCCCCTCATTGCCTTTAAGTGCAGTTTGAAAGGGATTTATTGTACCCTTGAAGACAGACAAGGGGTTGAAATGTGTGATTTCCGTTGTTTTTTCATGGACAGGCAGTTTAAAGAGGGTAAAAACACAAGTGGATCATTGCCACCCTGGATAGCTCTTATTGGCATAATGTTAGGCAAGTGAACCGACAGCTTGTAAATGCCTCCTGTCAAAAAGCACTCCATGGGTCAGTGTTCTTTGAGGACACACGCTGATAGGCACAAACACAATTACGTGAACTCACATAACCCACATAAACAAACTCACAGTTACCGGCATGCACATTCATAAGGCCCGAATAATGTGGACAGTCTTGTACACACCCATTAGAGGGAGATAAACGTTGATGATGGGTCCCCGTGCAGACCAAAGCAGGAAATCAATTCACTGTATGGGCAGGAAGCGTTGTATTTTTGCCCACTTCGCATTAAAAATTCTGCTGACTGCATGTTTCAATGGCACCATAACAAACAGCATTGCAGTCCGGAAAAGCAATGATGGGGGAGTGGCTAGCCGGCTAGGTGCCCACGATTCACCTCCACTCATTTTTGGCTTGCTGGGGGCTTATGCCTGTGAATTACAGCTTGTTGCACAGATACAAGGTGAGCCTCTCTCTTCCCCATCCACCCCCAATCCCCCCCCCCCCC